GTAACCGCTTTCATCACGTTGAACGGCGGTGGATGAGGTGCTAGTTGGCTACAATGCGACAGACTTTATGGAGTAAGTTTCTATTTAAATGACTTGTATTTCGAGGTTAGACACTTACGCTGTATGTGAACTCATCTGTAAATCATAGTCTCGGATACACCTTTCCGGTAAAAATTTCCAGCCCAACCATTCCCGATCATAGGGAGTGACTGAGCTTTCCGATTCCCTTGGAATCGGGGCCGTTTCTGACTCTTCCTAATTTACATTCAGTCCGATTGCATCCACTTCCTTTATCTGATAAGTTTTGCACCATGACACAATCTTTTCTGGAGGATAAATTTGAAACACCTGAAAACCATGTAACAATAGTAAGGAGGTTGTTCGAAAAGGACCACATAACCTGGGAACCCCCACTAAACTTAATTCCTTCGGCTGGCATCTGTGTGGGACGTATGGTGACCTGATTTCGTAAGTTAATTAAATAATTTTTCAACACATAGTTGTAGGCCTTAGGTTTTGTGTAGAACGCCGATTAAAGCCGCAGGTCCAAGACGATAATAGAGTTTGGGTTAGCGTGACCTTTGACAGTTCGACCATCGATTTCGCCCGTATAATCCAAACAAGTTGATGCAGGGTTGGTGATTTACACGTGAATTAGTGTTAAGTGATAGTAGCCTTGCACGGCATCCACCACACTCTTTCTTCCCTCATCCACCTGGGCCTGGTATCAAGACACAATCAAGAAAACCGGAGGCGGGATCATGTGCAGGTGGCTGGCGCAGCCAAAGCCGCCCCTACGCGTGCCATCACCCCCTCCCCCCATGTCCGGCATTTGTCATTGGCGCGCAACCCGAATAACGCCTGCCGTACCCTGATTTGGCCTCTGTGTTGGTCCAGCGCATATGCCGTGCGGTCCACTTAGCGGGCACAAGCATGATCTCCATCACCATCACCACCAACAAGAAACGCGTCAACCGCATCACCATTACCCCTGCAACGAGACCACAG